GAGTCTCCTGCCTCAGCCTCCCAAGTAGCTGGGACCACAGGTGCCTGCCACAACGCCTGGCTATTTTTTGGTTGCAGCCATCATTGTTGTTTGGCGGGCCCGGGCTGGGGATTCGAACCCGCCACCTGAGGTATATGTGGCTGGCGCCGAGCCTAGCTCAAGTTTTGGTTCCCACTTGATGGGGAATGGATGTTATGAGTTATGTCTCTAGTAATAGCTATAAGCCTTTATAAAAGGATTTTCTCATACTGTGAGTTTTCTCGTTTTCCATGAAGTCTAAATTTAGTTCATTTTAAAAATCATAATTACAAAGCAGTTTTAGGATGGTAGTTGGGTGCTGCTACAGGCATCTTCAAACTACGGCCTGCAGGCCACATGCAGCCCACCTAGGACATTTATCTGGCCCGCCAGGTGTTTTTGCCACCACTGCCTGTCCTGCTTAGCAGCTGACTCATGCTGGGGCCCACAGTCCAGCCCTCCAACAGTCTGAGGGACAGTGAACTGGCCCCCCTTTTAAAAAGTTTGAGGACCCCTGGTGGATGTACAAATGTAAACCTCATGCTGCAATTTGGTCCCCAATGTTGGAGGTGGTCTAATGGGAGGTGATGGATTCAGGGAGGAGGATCTCTCATAGGGTTAGGGTTAATAGATTAATGCCCTGGGGTAGGAGGGCATTAGTTTCCTCCAGAACTGACTTTTTTTTTTTTTGGTCTGTTTTCCTGAGACAGTTTCACTCAGTCACCCTAAGTGCTGAGGTGTCATAGTTCACAGCAACCTCAAACTCTAGAGCTCAAGTGATCCTCTTGCCTCAGCCTCCCAAGTAGCTAGGACTATAGGCACCCACCACAATGTCCAGCTATTTTTTTCTATTTTTAGTAGAGATGTGGTCTCGCTCTTGATCAGGCTGATCTCAAACTCCTGAGCTCAAGCAATCCACCCACCTCAGCCTTCCACAGTGCTAAGATTACAGTGTGAGCCACCACGCCCGGCCTCAGAACTGATTGCCTACAGCAATGCAGAGCAATAGATCAGTATACCCGCTGTCCCAGGAATTATCTTTTCCAGAAGTCATGGAAAATCACAGTCTGCCCTGTGCCCAGACTGGTCTCCTCTCTTCTCATCTAATTCCCTCACATACTTAGGCAAAGGATTGGAATGTTTTTGAGGATATGTATGGCTTCAACTTTACCAGATAATGCTAAATTGCTTTCCAAAGTTATAACACATTCTTTTATTGGTACCATATTTCTCCAACTGGGTTATAAGCTGTTGAAGGCAAAGATTTTATAATTTTTGTCTTAGACACAATAGACATTTAATTTATACATATATGTATGTATTTTTTGTTTTTTTTTATTTTGCCAAAGTTATATTGTATAGAGAAATATCCAGACCAATTCAACAAATATGCATCAATTGTTACTGCTAGCATTATCCTACTTAATTCCAAAGGTATTCAAAACACAGCTTTTGGCCCCAAAGAGTACACTGTCTGTTAGGAAAAATAAAACAAGTAATATTTAAAGTGAGTCATAAGGGTCTAATATCATAGATTCTTTAAAAGTGAAGCAAAGTGCTATGAGAATTTTTTTTCCTCTCTCTGGTCTTCCTTTCCCCCATCCCCCTCCCTCCTTCTCTCACTTCTCTTCCCCCACCCTCCCACCATGTCATTAATTATCCTCATATCAAAATTGAATACATAAGACTCATGCTTCTCCATTCTTATAATGCTTTACTAAGAATAATGGTTCTTACAAAGGTTAATACAGACTGTAAAGTCTCCATTTTTAAATGGCTAAATAGTATTCCATGGTATACATATACCACAGCTTGTTAATCCATTCCTGGGTTTGTGGGCATTTAGGCTGTTTCCACATTTTGGTGATTGAAAATTGAGCTGTGATAAACAGTCTAGTGCAAGTGTCCTTATGATAAGGATTTTTTTCCTTCTGGGTAGATGGCCAGGAATGAGATTGCACGATCAAATGGGAGGTCTAGGTTGAGTTCTTTGAGGGTTCCCCATACTTCCTTCCAAAAAGGTTGTATTCGTTTGCAGTCCCACCAGCAGTGTATAGGTGTTCTTTTCTCTCCACATCTGTGCCAACATCCGCACCAGCATATGCAATTTTGAGATTTTGTGATGTGGGCCATTCTTGCTGGGGTTAGATGATATCTCAGGGTGGTTTTGATTTGCATTTCTCTAATAATTAGGGATGATGAGCATGTTTTCATATGTTTGCTAGCCATTTGTCTGCCTTCTTTAGAGAAGGTTCTGTTCCTCTCTCTTCCCCATTGATATATGGGATTGTTGCCTTTTTTCAGGTGGATTCTTCTATAGATCCTAATTATTAAGCTTTTGTCTAATACAAAATACACCCATATCCTTCCCCATTGTGTCGGTTGTCTGTTTGGGTTGGTTGTCTCCTTAGCTGTTACAGAAACTTAAGCCCAAGAGTTTGAGGTTGATGTGAGTATGATGCCACTGCACTCTACCAGGGGGTGACAAAAATGAGACTCTGTCTCAAAATTAAAAAAAGAAAAATCAAATATAAGAATGTTTCCCACAGACATATTGCAAGTACAAGTTGGATTTCTCAGGTCTTAATCCTATAATTGGGTAAAAGTGGTAAAGCCTATGTGCTTAGTAGGATGTAAGCATTCCAACTTGTACAAATAATCAACACACCAAATCATAAAAAAAAAAAAAAAAAAAAAAAAAAATGTTTTTCAGGATGCAACTTAAAAATTACTTTGCATCAAAATGTATGCAAAACATTGATGCACTGCACCCTAAAATGAAAGTTTGTATTTAATGAAGTGCTTAATACTGTGTTTTGGGGAAAAGTTACATTTAGGTCTACTCATTTAGTTACATTTAGACTGTTCACTTTTAACAAATAAAATATTGCGGATTTCACATGAAAACAGCATGTTTTCGAAGTAAAAAATTAATGGAAAAAAATGAAAATAAAAGGTAATTTGATACTGAGACAGATTGCCGAGCACATTTTTCAGCTGATTAAAGGAAAATCATATGTCAGAAGCAGGAACTTTTGCAGAAGGCCCCTAACACGTGTTTCGTTTCTTTTTCTCTGCGACATCCTTCCACAAAGACAAGGTGTTCAGGATTTCAGATGTATTAGGTCGCTCCTTGGGATCCTTTGAGAGTAATTTCTGTAAAAGAATTTTCTGTAATGAGAGTGAGAGTCAATACTGAGAAATGAAACATGGAAAGAAATAAAATTTTGCTTAGTTTCAAATGCTTACTTCTTTGTTATCAAATACATTTGGAACCAAGCCATTCCTTAGATCGATGAAAATCTGAAAATAAAACATATATACATATATATTAATATATAAATATAGGGAAATATTTATCTACTGCAGGAAAACAGAACTCACTAAAACCTGAGGATACCCTAAATCTAGGATATTTCCAGATCTTTGGGAAAGTTTCTTTGGCCATGAAGCAAGCAGGACTCCCTTCCCCTAACGCTGGTCCCAATCTAACATATTCATTCTCTCCCTTCATCCTTTCTGAAGCCCCTTTCTATTGTTTTTGCAGAGAATAAAGCTATTGATCCCAGGTGAGTCCTCTTTCCTGAGCTCCAGCATAAGATATTCAGTTGCCTACTGAATGGCTCCTTACTTCTTAAACAAGTTTATATTCTTAGTAGTTCCTTACTTCTTAAACAGGTTAAGTTTATATTCTTAGTGGCTCCTTACTTCTTAAAACAAGAAAGTTTATATTCTTTCCTTTGAATTAGCTCCAACCTGTCTTTCCAACTCCACCAACCACTACTTCTTCGTAACTTTTATCCTCCAGTAAAATTGCACTTCCTGCTATTCCCAAATTCACTACTGCAATCTACTTCTTTCTCTTTTGAACTATTAGAAGCCAACTGATCCTACAGAGACCAGTTTACCTGAATCCATGAAAGCTAAATCCCTATAGCTGGAAAGATCTCCCTCCTAGGTGTTTCCACAGACTTCACACTTTCTCTTAAGACATATTATCTCCCCTTTTAGGAAACCAGCTCCTTGAGAACAAGACACAGCTCATTCTAGTCACCCTTGTAGGTAGTACTTAGCATAGTGTCCTAACACAAAGTAGTAGGTAAATAAAATTTTACTGACTGACTAAAACAGGACTCATTGAGGTTATGAGAGGTATACACCTCCAAAGAAAATAAAACGTTTTGGTCATTAACAAAATGGTTGCTGGGTGGCGCCTATAGCTCAAGCAGCTAAGGTGCCAGCCAGATACACCAGAGCAGGCGGGTTCAAATCCAGCCTGGGCCTACCAAACAACAATGACAACTACAACCAAAAAAATAGCCGGGCGTTGTGGCAGGCAACTGTAGTCCCAGCTACTTGGGAGGCTGAGGCAAGAGAATTGCTTAAGCCCAGGAGTTAGAGGTTGCTGTGAGCTGTGACGCCACAGCACTCTACCCAGGCGATAGCTTGAAGCTCTGTCTCAAAATAAAAAAAAAAAAAAAAAAATGGTTGCCAAGACTTCAAAGACAGTAAATTCCTATTCCATTTGCAGTCAGACACTAATAAGTTGAAGCCCATCCCCACACCACACAAAGGCATTAACTGTCTACAGCAGCACTTTAAAGGTCATAGTCAATAATTTTTGTTGTTTAATTCTTTCCCCAAAATTATTTACCTTAGCTGTTTCTGTAGAAGTGTCACATATGTAAAGAAGTTCAGCAAGAATTAACCCCAAAGCATAGATGTCCACTTCTTTTCCATATTCTTGTGAAGAAATCTGAAGAAATCAAAATATATTTACGTTTTTTTACTTACATAAATCTCCATGTCTTCTAATGCCAAAGAAAAGGTTACTTAACTAAAATATCTTATATCACAATGTTTATTAGCCAGTTCTGTTGAGTCTGATGGTATAGGTTCAAATCTCTACCACTGAATAGATGAATTATCTGTGTAAATTAACCACCAACATGGAAATGATCTCAACTGTACAACAGGGATAAGGATAGTATCAACCTCAGAGTCTGACCATGGGGTTGAATGAAATGCAGCAGATAAAGCTCTTAAAATAGTGGCCGGTAGGTGACTTACACGTGAATGTTCACAGCATATTTATTCATAATATACCATGTCTAGAAACAATTCACATACCCACAAGCAAAAGAATGGATAAACACGTTGTGTTATATTCATACAACGGACTCAGCAACAAAATGAAGTTATCTGCTGGTATAAGCAAGCACTAAAGATTGTCCAACAGACACTACCTTGAGGGAAGAAATTAAATACAGAAGAGTACGTACTGTATGATCCCTTCACACAAAGGTGATATCCCCACACACAAAGGTGTGATCCCCACACACACTAAGCTCTGGTGATAGAAATCCTTCAGGGCCAGTTGCCTCTGGACAGTGGGAAGGTGGCAATGACTTGAAAGGGGCCGAAGGGAATTTTCTTGTTATGTGTATTGTGTCCTAATTTATTTATTTATTCAGACTTCACATCTTTTGTATTAATCTGGAGGGGATTTTCTTGGGTGAGCAAAAGGTACCACATCTTCACAGGCTTGGGGGTTATACAGGTGCATGCATTTGTCAAAATTCAAAATTGTATACTTAAGATCTGCACATTTTATGGAGTATTAATTATTCCTCAGCAAAATGTTTTTAAATTTAAAAAACATCTAATAAAAAGAAAATCATAATGATGAATTTAAAAAAATATTTAGAGATGATACTATAGGATGCAGGAGATATTTTAACAAAGTGATAGCTTAAAAGAAACCATTAGACACTTTCTGGGTGAAGGACGCAACTACAACGCGGACTTGAACTTTACAAAAGCAATTTATGTAACCTAATCATACATACCCCTCACATTAACTTGAACTTGTTTTTAAAAGGAGCCATTAGCCTCCTATTGTGTTCTACTTCCACGTTGCACAAAAACCTTAAATTTTTCCAAAAGGAAGACTGTGAAATTATTGGACAGTTCAGTACATTTATTACTGGATGGCAAAATAGAGGTATTTTGAAGGTTATATTTTCAGAAAAATCATCTTTAAAGGGCATTTATAATCAAAAAGAAAAACAAAAGAAACAATACAAAAGATGGAAAATAATCAACCAAAATAAAAAACTATTAATGAGTCTATATGTAAGATAAATATTCAAAAATCAATAGCATCATGTCCACAAACAGAATTAATCACAATAGCCCAAGAAGTGAAAGCAACTCAAGCGTCCATTGATGGATAAACAAAATATGGTCCATACATACAACGGAATATCATTCAGCCTTAAAAAGGAAGAAAATTCTGGCACATGCTACAACATGGAGCAATCTTGAGGACATTATGCTGAGTAAAATAATCTAGATACCGCATATAAGGGGAATCGTACGATATTTGCCCTTTTGTTGGTGCCTTATTTTACTCAGTCATTTTTATGTACAATTCAGTGGCATTAAATACCTTCACAATGTCGTATAACCATCACCATTATCTACTTGCAGAACTTTTAATCACCACAACACAGACTGTACCCATTAAACAATAACTTCCCACTCCTCTCTTCCTTCAAGCAACATCTGTTTTATTTCCTGTCTATAAATGTTTCTCTTAAGACGGCATTTTATTTATTTATTTTTTTGAGTCTCACTATGTTGCCCTTGGTAGAGTGCTATGGCATCACAGCTCACAGCAACCTCAAATTCTGGGGCTTAAGGGATTCTCTTGCCTCAGCCTCCCAAGTAGCTGGGAGTACAGGCACCTGCCAGATCATCCGGCTATTTTTTTGTTGCATTGTCATTGTTGTTTAGCTGGCCTGGGCAGGGGTTTGAACCTGCCAGCCTCAGTGTATGTGGTTGGCCCTCTACCCACTGAGTATGGGCGCTGCCCAAGACAACATGTTAAATCATGAACTGTTTGAAACATGGTGAGGAAACAACTGCATATTCATGTAGGGAAAATCAAGTTGCATCCCTTCTTTACATGTATGCAAAAATTAATTCAAGTTAGAATTAATTTTTTTACATTAGCAAAATCAAAATATTTTTATAATCTTGTGGTAGAACCAGGCTCCAAAACAACTGAACAGCTTCTGTGCCACAAATGTCATTATGAACAAAGAAGTGACAGGCAAGGGGAAGAATTCTGTGATATTGTTAGATACAGAATGAATACCCCAAATATATAAAGATTAATTACAACTATATTAGAAAAACACAACCTAATTATGAGAAGTGGGAAAAGGATATGAATAGAGAATTTCCAGAGAAATTGCAAGTAAATACATAAAAAGATAGCATGCCTCAATAAAAATCCAGAAAATCCTGGGTGGTGCCTGTGGCTCAAAGGAGTAGGGCACTGGCCCCATATGCTGGAGGTGGAGGGTTCAAACCCAGCCCCAGCCAAAAACTGGGAAAAAAAGAAATCCAGAAAATGCTAACTAACATAGCAACATACTCCTCATTCATCACACTGGTCAGAACTGGAGACTGATATTAGGCTAGTCTGACTGAACATGAGATAAAGCAGCATTCTCATAGACTTTAAGGAGAGGGTATTATCAGAATCACTTTTTTAGAATGATAATTAGGTAGCATGTATTGAAATGTATTTATCATTCTAGTCAATCATTTTACCTCAAAGAATCTAATATAAAATATCACAGACATATTTGTTCTTGAGCCCACAGATAAGGAAAAAGACATATCTATAAATGGGCAAAGCTGTTAACAACCTAAATAAATACCCTTTGGGGGCGGTACCCATGGTTCAGTGAGTAGAACGCTGACCCATATACCAAGGGTGACGGGTTCAAACCTGGCCCCAGCCAAACTGCACCAACAACAACAAAATACTTTTTGGTAAGAAAATATTTAAATAAATTATAGTATCTCTATACTTTGAAATACAATACAGTTGTTAAAAAAGAATATGATAGATCTACCTTATACTGAAATGGAACTATTATGATATATTATTGAGTGGAAAAAAGTCACAAAATAACATTATAGTAACATTAAACGTTATAATTATTTCATAATATTATTTTGTGATGTACTTAACACAAAATAGTTCCTTGTGAAAATGTATGCATGTATACATTTATATTTAAAAAGTCTACCTGTGTAGCAGTGCCTGTGGCTCAAAGAGGTAGGGTGCCAGCCCCATATACTAAAGGTGGCGGGTTTAAACCCAGCCCTGGCCAAAAACTGAAAAAAAAAAAAAAAAAGTCTACCTGTGTATGTGTTTGTATGTTTTATAACTGTTATAACTTTATAACAGAAAATTATCTGAGAGGATAAAGAACCAACTGATAAGAGTAGGAGTGGCAAGATGAGTTAAAGGGAATTTTCAATTCTTATTCTATGTGTTATGTTTTAATTCTGTAAGAGGTGTCTACTGTTTTTATCATTTGAACAAAAAAAAGAATTAACATAAATACAGACAGGAAGGAAAGGGACTTTACCTGTTCTGGGCTCATGTATCGCCTAGTTCCCCTGTTACTCGTTCGTTTTTCATCATTTTCTAGGGATGTCACAAGTCCAAAGTCTCCGATCTTTATTTTTTTCTTATCTACTAAAAATATGTTACTTGGCTATGGAAAAAAAAATACATAATTTATATGTACCTGTATGACATGTCCAAGTCATATTTATCAGTTTCCTTATAAGACTTTTACCCTTATGCAACAGCTCAAATCAGGAAATTTACCATCACTGGTCTTTAAAATGCCCGCTGAAGGAAGTACAGACTTTTTAGCTGACAGGAGAGGCAGCCCAGGGCATGGCTGCCTACAAATATCTGAAGAGCTGTTACGTGAAAGGTACTCGGCGTGGTCCCAGGGGATGGATCCAGGCCGAAAGGCTGGAATCGACCAAAAGATTTGCTTTAATGTACCCTAACATACTGACAGTGTGGTCGAATGGACATACACTTGAGGAAACACTACACATGAGTCCAGATCTGATGGAGGCTGAAGGGGACACCCTGAGGACCTCTTCCCTTCAGATTCTCCGAGTGACTCTGTTCCCAACAACACTGCAGATCATCCCGAGCAGAATTTCTCCTGAGGGCCTTTTTTACATCAATTGCCCCAAGCCCCTGACAACTTCTTAACACATCTCCGCCAACTTGAAAGCATACCAAGCTAACCAGAAACTAAGAACTAGCACTGAAGTCCTTTTTCCATGCAATTCTTGAAGCATATTTTTTAACAAAGGAGAAAAAACAGGGTCAGAATGAGAAGTTGTCGCCCTTCGTAGATGGTCTTGGCCAGTATTCTAAAGACAATCAAAACAGGAAGGAAGTAGGTGAGGAAATTACTATTTTGCCATTTTTGAAAAGGCTAGACTTTCAAAACAGTGTTGGGCTATACACACTAAGACTTTATGGGATGACATTTAGGAGAGGGCCTGGGAAAGGAACGGAGAGAGAGGAGATCGCAAGCTCAGGGTGGCTGAAGAAGGAGTAGAGATGGCCCATGAAGAAATTAGCAGTTAGACTGGAATTCAACTAACAGCTGGATTGGAACCTAAGGCCAGAAATACAGATGGCAGGCTGTAGATGTGTGGGGTGGATGTGGACAGAAAAATGTTTTTATGCTATGTTCAAGTTACAATGTAAGAACACACATGTGGTGGGTTTATAAGTGAAACTGCTGGTCTCACAGAAGGCGATAACCTAAGATAGGTTGAATTTATGATGTTGCGTATATATTTGAGCTGGATGAGACTGTAGTAGGACTATCAGATCACTTTTTATAGATCACTCAGAATAAAAATGATAAATGAATAATGCCAGATTTGTCTGACTGGTTACAGCACAATTAGACAAAATGCAGGGCCGTAGAGCATGAGAAGAAGGTGCAAACTTGATGGAGGAGGCACAGGAACGAGGCTGACCAAGTCTGGACCTGTGAGGAGACTGGACCTGCTATAGAAAAGGCCCCTCAGACAGGACTCCAAAGACCCACATGTCCCTCCCCAGCACCTTTGGTCTCGTCCTTAAGATTCCAAAAGGGAAGTGGTGAACATACGGAGATTTTTATAAGGGCTGTTCTGGATAAACACCATGCTCTGTCAAAGACGCCTACAGTTGCTGTTTCCCAAAGCATAACACAGAAAGTGTACTCTTTCACTTTCACCTTCTACCAAAGAAAGGAAACAGCAACTGTAGCAGTCAGGTAGAGGAAGCTGAAAGAAAGCTCAGTGTAGAAGTCTGACTTTGGAGCAACTGCAGCCAGAGCAAAAATTCTCTGCAAATAGACACACAGAAAGTTCCATCCATGACACAGGGCACAGAGAGTGCAGGTGACAGGACAGAGTTGGCAGACCAGAGGTGGGCACCAGTCTGGATGTCACTAATTGATTCTGAGGAAGGCCAGGAAGTTAACACCTAAACTTTGCAAATCATTGTATGTATAAAAAATTGTGCATAGTTTGTTATTTAAATACAGTATAATGTCTGTAAGTTGACCCCCAAGGGACTGCAACAAACTGGTCAACATACAAAAGTGGTCAACATAAGGAACTGGGCTACTGTACTGGTACGTACATGTGGTGCACGTCCAGTCTATAAAAATTAGGTCAACTCAAGGGGGTGGTCAATGTAGGGAGGAGGTCCACTAAAGAGGGTCCACTGTATATGTATGCTTCATTCCACAGTGCGGGGATAGTCACACCTGTATTCTTTTGACCATCCTCCTGATAACATTCCAACTTCAAAGAACATCTTCAGATATTGTTAAAGAGAGATATTAGAACCAGGTGGGCTCAAACACCAAGGTGTTGGATGGATATCCAGCCCCCGGGCAGATCAAGAAACAAAAACCTTTTAGAGGCATCTAATTCTTTATAGGCCCAACAACTACATACACGGGCACTTTTTCTCCAGGAAATTTTGCTTCATTCCTTATTCCTGGCTGTTTTAGACAGGTGGGGTAAGCAGATAGTCAAAAGAGACCCAGATAAGGTATTTCTGCCTGGAACAGAAAGAGGCAGATCCAGAGTGACCAGGAAAGGCTGTCAAATAAAGGAATTGGGACTACATCTCTACTAAAATAGAAAAATAAGACAGGCGTGCATCTGTAGTCCTAGCTACTCAGGAGGCCGAGGCAGGAGGATGGCTTTAGCGTAGGAATTTGAAATTGCTGTGAGCTAGGCTGATGCCATGGCACTCTAGCCTGGGCAACAGAGCAAGATTTTCTTTACAAAAAAAAAAAAAGAAGAAGAATTGAAAGATTAGGAAACCACGTTTCCAAAGCCACACTCAACAGAGTCCCTCTGCCTCTCAAATAAGCCTGAGGAGCAGTAGATGAGGGGACAGAGCTGTCAAATGACTACGCCAACCACAGCAATCATTTGTGTGGAAATGTTCAGTGCACAAAAGCCACTAACAGTCAACTGAGATATGACTATCAGCCAAATAGAACCAGAACTGAATGGGCCTACAGAGTTCATTGTCTCAAGTCCACTAGCTATGGAGACCTTCTGAGTATTCTATGGAATGTTAATGTGGCAAGTTCTAGACCCATTCTAACCTGAGAGGATCAGAGATATTATTTCCTAATGACAATCAATCATGATTCTAAAACTAAAGAAGATATATTTTTAAATTATTAAATTGTATTTATCAGCTAACACAGTACATCTTCAACTTACCTTAAGATCTCTATGAATTAACTGTTTTGAATGTATAAAATCCACTCCTTTTGTTATTTGTTCGAAGAATTCCAAAGCCAATGCTTTATCCGGTTTCTTGCCTCTTCTGTTATCAATCCATTGTTCCAATGTCCCTTTATCACAGAATTCCATTTGGATGAAAAGACACCTAGTCGTTCGTCTGGATATAAAATTCACAGAATGTTAAATATAATAAAAATAAACTTATAAAAATATACATACATATTTTTTGTTTGTTTTTTGTCTGAGACTGTCTCATTTTGTTGCCCGTGGTAGAGGGCCATGGTGTCATAGCTCACAGCAACCTCAAACTCTTGGGCTCAAGTGATCCTCTTGCCTCAGTTTTTCATTTCTAGTAGAGATGGAGTCTCATTCTTGCTCAGGCTGCTCTCGAATTCCTAAGCCCAAACAATCCACCTGCCTTGGCCTCCCAAAGTGCTAGGATTACAGGCATGAGCCACCGTGCCCAGTCTTAAAATATATATTTTTTGAGAAGTTATACCTTATCTTAAGAACCCCAAAACAGGCCAGGTGTGGTGGCTCATGTCTTAACCCTACTCTGGGAGGCTGATGCAGGAGGATCTCTTGAGTCTCAGAGTTCACATCAGCCTTAGCAAGACCGAGACCCTGTCTCTACTAAAAATAGAAAAATTAGCTGGGTGAAGTGGCATACACCTGTAGACCTTGCTAACTGGGTGGCTGAGGCAGGTGAATTTCTTGAGCCAGGAGTTTGAAGATGCTGTGAGCTAAGCTGAACCCATGGCACCCTAACCAGGATGAGTGAGACTCTGCCTCAAAACACACACACAAAACCCCCAAACATGTCTTAAAACAAAAATCTAAATATAATAAATTTGAATCGAAACATGATAAAGCATTTCTTATTTAAAACATAAGTTCCCAGATATCCAGAGGTTTATTTATTTAGCTAATTTATAGAGTATGAGCCGTCCCATTCTTTTTTTTTTTTTTTTTTTGAGACAGAGTCTCACTTTATTGCCCCTGGTAAAGTGCTGTGGCATCACAGCTCACAACAACCTGCAACTCCTGGGTTTAGGCAATTCTCTTGCCTCAGCCACTCAAGTAGCTGGGACTACAAGTGCCCGCCACAATGCCCAGCTATTTTTTTTTTTTTTTAGACAGAGCCTCAAGCTGTCCCCCTGGGGAGAGTGCCGTGGCATCACAGCTCATAGTAACCTCCAACTCCTGGGCTCAAGTGAGTCTCCTGCCTCTGCCTCTCAAGTAGCTGGGACCATAGGTGCCTGCCACAATGCCTGGCCTTTTTTTTGTTGTTGTTGTTGCAGCCATCATTGTTGTTTGGCAGGCCCAGGCTGGATTTGAACCTGCCACCTTAGGTGTAGGTGGCTGGCGCCTCAGCCACTTGAGCCACAAGTGCCGAGCCACCCAGCTATTTTTTTGTTGCAGTTTGGCCAGGGCCAGGTTTGAACCCACCACCCTTGGTATATGGGGCTGGAGCCCTGCTCACTGAGCCACAGGTACTGCCCAGCCTTCCCATTCTTTACTGCTGTAGATCCTTAATCATCTTTGCTAATACACAGGAATAGGAGCACTAATTATCATGAAGCTGTAGAAAACTAAATTTCATTATCATATAGTGTAACGTTAAAACAATTTAATTCACCGTCAATCTACTAAAAATCTGTTTGAGGATCTTTTGTGAAAGGCACAGAATAGGGACCTAAAGACGAGGAAATGAGCTAAACACTGTCCTTGCTGCCATGGGGATTATAGGCTGAGAGGGAAAGGAAAAACAAACCTAGAAGAACAAAGCAAGGCGAGGTAGGTACTCTAGGTAGATGTAAGTTGGAGGACTGATTTTTCCTAATCATGTTTTATATTTTTTTCTGGACCAAGTTGGCCTCAGTATCAGTTTAGGTTCTTGGTACATATTTTGGCTAGGAAACAGGAAGAGGCAGTAAAGAATTTGCTGGAAGCTGAAGAAGTTCTGATGGTCAATAACTCCTGAAATTGATGATAAAGTTCTCGATTACATGGGATAGAGATGGGGCTGGAGGCAGGGGACAAGGAAGGAATTGTCCCCCAGTGGCCTCAGGATTACAGTAACAGGGCTGTCCCCTGGAAAATCTGGGTGATGTTTGAAGGGGGATGATTTGGGGAATTCCCAGCTCATTGGCAGTGGCTTAGCTGAGACAAAGTTGAGAGATGCACAGCTCTTGAAGTTCTTTTCACTGCTCACCACCCCATCACAAGTGGTTGGCTGCTTTCAAAAGAGACCCTTTGACAGCCCTCCACAGTCAGGGGCCTCAGAGAGGGGTGGAACAGTGTTGGCAGCTGAGGAGGGAGCCCCAGATGCAGCAAATACATGTTGAAGCTTTCTTCACTACACTGTATCTTTGGCCTGTACTGGAGCCAGGCACAGAAGCGACACGATTGAGGCAGGAAAGCTAAATCTGAGATCTTAAAGACAGCTTAGGATGTAAGATAGGTTTTTAAGAGCAAGTATGAAACCTGAAGAGGAGTGAAGAAAAGGCTGTCATTGTCTCCTGGCCTGCAGGGATGGGGAGATAACAGCGTCTTTTGGAGGTGGTTGTGATTATTGAATGTGATGTGGCCTTATCTAGTGGTCCACACGTAGTAAACGACAACTTTGTTCCATCCTACTATGGCTGTGAGAATTTTTTTTTTAAGTTACCCTAAATGATTTGCGTTCTTCTTGGAATCATAGTCACTGGTCTCAGTATCGTAACCACTGGTCTCAGGATCATAATCCTCTCCATCCCAACAACCATGGTAGCGAACAATATTCTCGTGCTCGTCGAGGCCTGCCAGTGCTTTCACTTCCCGCTCCACCTTCCTAGTTAAAGGAAACAGAAGATGAGAGTGTCACTATACATCCCAAATGACGACTGCAAAATGCCTCCTGTAACAGGACACCGCTATCCACACTCCCTTATGGAATGGCTGCTGCAGTTCCCACATCAACTTCAGAACGAAAGACAAGAGGCTCAAAGGAAAAAGTGAACATGGTGGGTGGAGGATGGACAATAGCTGCTCTCACTCTCAGCATAAAAGAAATAGCAGTGACTTAAATACTTTTAAACATCAGATAACTTAAAAATCACTTGCAGTGGTCTTTGAAATGCCAGTGATGCAATTTTTACATTATATTTTTTCTAGACCTGTGTTAAGAATCTTTGATCTTTACGAGCAAACCGCATTTGGGCAGCAAGGGTAGGTACCAGACAGTGTGAAGAACTTAATTCAGGACTTTCAATATGTGGCAAAAACACATAAAGAGGATACTTTATGCAGAGACTATGGGAACTGTATAAGGATGTGTTTTCAAGAACTAAAACAATTCCAAGCTAAATGGAGTCCATAAATTTGATATTTCAAAGGTGAGGAAGTAAACATTTTACAATTTCATGTTTAACTTAAAAACTGCTATAACTCTACGACATAAAATTTGTAAAAATAAGGAAAAAATACTGATACCACTAAATTCCACTGAAATCATTAGTTATTACTTTGGATTACTTCCTTTTTAAAAAATGTTTTTTGTAGAGACAGAATCTCACTATGTTCCCCAGGCTCGTCTCCAACCCGTGGGTTCAAATGATCCTCCTACCTTGGCCTCCCAAAATGCTGGGATTACAAACATGAGCAACCATGCCAGCCTGGACTATTTCTTACAGTCTTTCTGCACATACATGTCTCTGGGTTTGTAATTACATTTAATTTTTATCCCATTTTTCATATAACATGCTGTCTTTATAGTTTTCCTTGCTGCAACCCAATCTGTATAAACATCATTTATAAAGTTGTTAATGTAAGGTTTAAAAACACAAAAAACATTAAAAAAGCAGAGAACATAATATAATGAACCCCCACATAGCCAGTACCAGATGAAACAGCTATTGACTCCCAGTCAATCTATACTCTTACCTACGTCTTCATTTTCCTCTTAATTATTCTGGTGCAACTTCCAACATCAAATCATTTCATGTGTAAATATTTCTGTATATAACTTTCTTTTTTTTTTTTTTAAGGTAAGCCATGAAACAAAGTTTATTGGGGAAGGGAAAGATAGGCTTGGAGAGCAAGAGCAAAATACAGATTTACAGAGCAAGATACATCTGCCACAGACCAAAAAACAGGCCCCCTTGTCCTATAACTCTCATTTTTAATGTCAGCAAAATAATAGCCACTGACTAGGGGAGAGAATAAGACATATTTTATCATTTCTCTATTGCTGGATATTTTGTTTGTCCTAATTTTCCACTGTGATTTATTTATTTATTTTTTGAGACAGGGTGTTACTCTTATCACCCCAGCTAGAGTGCCATGGTGTCATGACAGCTCACAGCTACCTCAAACTCCTGGGCTCATGTGATCCTCTGGCATCAGCCTCCTGAGCAGCTGGGACTCCAAGCACCTATCACCACACCTGGCTAATTTTTTAATTTTTGGTAGAGAGAAGGTCTCATTCTTGCCCAGGCTGGTCTCCACCTCCTGACCTCAAGGGATCCTCCTATCTCTGTTTCCCAGAGTGCTAGGATTACACCATGCCTGGCCTATATCTTCTTTTATTCATATATAGCCATAAATTGGATAATATTCTTAGAACAGTTCCCAAATATGAAATTCTTGAGTCAAAGTGTGTAAGTATATTTTTATGACTCCAGATTCACATTTCCAAGTGTATTTTTAAACATGTTGTTCCAATTTATAGGTTACTAGAAATATCCAAGATACTATACCTCATCAACATTATTACCATTTAAAAAAAATTGTCATCTAACGAAAGGAACAACAGTCCTGCAATCCTGTTAGGTAAAACAATGAAGAAGGAATAAACCTTGTCTTGATACTGAATAGGTATGAGGGTCTTTCACATGCCAGGCATCGTCCAGGGGGACAGGACATAAGTCTGTTTGACTGGAAGGTAGAGCACCTGACCCTTCCTGCCCACTTGTCCTTTGCTCATATAATTTTCCTTATCCCAGATCCCTTTTCTGTCTCCTTCTCCAGTCTTTGAGGGATCTGTCTGGCCAAGTAACAACTGTCAAAGAGGAATGAGCAAGACTGGCCAACTGGTGAAGACCTTGCTACTGTGTGTTTCCCTTCCTGAAGGAGCCCCACTATCCAGTGGGAAGGAAAGAGCAGATAATACACAAAACAAATATGGGAAGCAATGGGTTAGAGTGGAGACACAGTGAATTGGGTTTCTACCTTGTTTCATAGTGTCCAAAGATCGTTATTTTAAATTACTTCCCTCCCCATACATGCATCCACTCCGCAGATTAAGAAGAGGAGTCTATTTGTCTTCTCCTAGAGGTGGCTTCAGTGACTTATGTAATGAGGTGCTGGAAGCGATGTTCTGCAACTTCTAAGTCACGAGACTTGCCAGTCCCTCCTGTTCTTTTGCTAACTTGTTCTGGGGGATGATCCTGGAAATCTAGCCACTAAGCTGTGAGAAAGAAGCCCAGG